TTAAAAAAGGGATAGAAAATAAGATGGAGAATATCTTATTGCCCTTATATAAATACCTGGTATGCCCACATCTTGAATACTGCGTACAGATGTGGTCTCATTTCAAAAAAGATATACTGGCATTAGAAAAAGTTCAGAAAAGGGGTTTGATTAGGGGTTTGGAACGGGTCCCATATGAGGAGAGATTAAAGAGACGGACTTTTCAACTTGGAAAAGAGACGGGGATATGATAGAGGTATATAAAATCATGAGTGATGTGGCGAAAGTGAATAAGGAAAAGTTATTTACTTGTTCCCATAATATAAGAACTAGGGGCCACCAAATGAAATTAACGGGCAGCAGGTTTAAAACAAATAAAAGGAAGTTCTTCACACAGCGCACAGTCAACTTGTGGAACTCCTTGCCTGAGGAGGTTGTGAAGGCTAGGACTATAACGGTTTAAAAGAGAACTGGATAAATTCATGGAGGCTAAGTCCATTAATGTCTATTAGCCAGGATGGGTAAGGAATGGTGTCCCTAGCCTCTGTTTGTCAGAGGGGAGATGGGTGGCAGGAGAGAGATCACTTGATGATTCCCTGTTAGGTTCACTCCCTCTGGGGCACCTGGCATTGGTCACTGTTGGGAGACAGGATACTGGGCTGGATGGACCTTTGGTCTGACCCAGTACGGCCGTTCTTATGAAGCCAGCTGCCAGGAAGGGAGTGGTGAAAACAGGAAGTAGAAGGTGATAAAAGAGGGACTAAATAAAAGGCAGTCCTTCGGCTATTTGTGTATTTCAAGCTGAACAGGTCTTCTGGCCCACGGCAGTGAGAGCAAAGGGTGCTTATGAATGAGCTATTGCTGGGGAGGAGGCGGATTTTTCATGTTAACAGACACCCAGCAGCCTGTGCTTGTAGTTAGGGCACTGGCCTGGGTTCTAGTCCCAGCCCTGCCGCTGACCTGTGAGACTGGGCAAGTGTCCCTGTGCCTCAGTTTCCCAACTGGAAGACTGATGATCCTTCCTTCCCTGCAGGGGGGCTTTGAGAATGAATCCATTAATGAGCATGTGACACTTGGCTACTGTGGTGATGGGGCCAACTCCTTAAGCTTGCTGGCCAGATCTGGGTCTGTCTGTTGTCAGGGCCAGAGTGTGATGTGTGGCCAGGGGGTAATGGGATGACCTAGCTAAGAGGCTTTCTAAAATCTGGTGAGAGACGGGGTCTGGTTGTGGGAGAGGGTGGCTGCTAATAGGCTCTTGGTGTCACGCCTCCACACGTGCCCTGGAACTCAGGGTTATGGCCGAGTTGCAGACATTCTGAGTCAGGGCAGAGCCTGGGTGTCCTGCTGCCCACCCTGGGCTCTAACCAGCCAGGAATCCTTTTCCTGCAGGCCAGTGTCTGGGGCAGATCTCACCCCCAGTCTCCTGCATGGCCTGTCCCAGGGAACCGCACAGCCACAAGGACAGAAACTAGCCAAGGGTGGGGGGAGGGAGGGAGGGGAGAAGAGGCAATCCCTGGGCTGTGTTTTGGGTGGCAGGACTGGCTGGCTAGGAGGTACCATGCTTTGTACAGGTGGGGGTGTCCCTGCATGGAGGGGGGGGAAGCTTCAGCAAGGTGCCAGTGCATCCCTTCCTGGGGCCAGAGCAGCACTTGCTCTGCAGGGCAGGGGCTCTCACTGTATTACTGCAGCTGCAGGTGGGCTCTGTGCTGGACAGGCGATCCCCAGAGCTGGTCGCAGCTGTTCCCCACTTCTCCCTGGGCACCAGGCCCCTGTTTTGAAGCCTTATTTTACAGGTGGGGAAACATGGGCCAGAGCATGGGTGAGAAGCCTAGAAACCCTCAGCTCCCTGGTCAGTGATGCTGATGTCAGGCCAGAGTTACTTCCAGAGGAGTCGTTCTGGCTTTACACTGAGCAGCAGCCTCGCCGCCCCATGGAGTCTGAGGTGGCAGCTCACCCCAGGGCCTTTGGGTGCTCCTGGGAGATCATTTACACACCCCTGTTCAGTCTATAACCAGCTGAGGCCAGGCGGGCTGGGCCCAGGGAGTGCAGTTCAGCCAGCCCTGCGGCGCATGGGATCACTGATCTAGCACTTGTGAAGTCCTCTGCTGAGGGCCTTGTCCAGCTGTGCTCTGGCCACCAAAGATCGGGGCGGGGGGGCAGGGAGCTGGTGCACAGTGAGGGTAGGTGAGGGCCAGCCCTGTACAGTGATGGTGATGTTTGTACTCTGCCAGCCCAGCCTGGCTGCTCCCTTATTCAGCTGATGAACCAAGCCTCCCTGCTCAGCTGGGTCCTGTCCTCTCTGGCTCCACCCATGCCCCACTGCACCTTCCTGTTAGAGCCGACCTCCGCCTCAAGGCAGGGATGGTCTGCGTAAACTGCAGGGACCCACAGCTTGCCCCCTGCTCTGGCATGGCCCAGCCCTGGGGGGGTGGACACAGGCCCTGCTGTGACCCAGACGGGGTTGAACCAAGCTGAGCCAGCTCTTGAATAGTTCATGTATCGAGGACGTGAGGAGAAAGCCCATCCTGCAGGCAAACAGCACCTACACATAACTGGCATGGGCCTGATCCAGCAAACATGCTGCTCCTCAGACGACTCCCCCCCCCCCAGCTCTGCCAGTGCCTGTCACTCACAGGCCCCTGCTCTCTCTGCCCCAGGCTTCCACCAGCAGAGACATTCGTGCCACTTCCTGTAATAGGTAAAGGCAGTGTCACAGTTACCCCAACGCCTGGAGAGAGATGGAGTTGCCCAGGGAGAATGGCTTTAAGGGCTGTTGGAGTCACAGGGCCGAACCTTGGCTGAAGCTGTACTGAATGTGTCGCTGCCCTCACAGTGGTAAGGCCAGAACAGAACCCAGGCATCCTGCCTCCCGGCCCCCACCTGCTCTGACCACGGGACTGCAGTTGTCTCAGAGCCAGGAATAGAACCCTGGTGTCCTGGCTTCCAGGCCCGACTGCTTTAAGGCCAGGCTACTGCTGTCTGTGCCTCCCAGCACCGCTGACCTGGCACCGCACAGGCAGCCTGTGGCCTCCTGCCCCACTTAGCTACCCCAAGCTAAAGCCTTTAAGCCGCTTTCTCGGAGCTCCCTTCATCCAGCAATCCTTGAGGGACTTTCTCTGCCTCGGCCGCCCCTAATCGCTCCAGGTGAGCAGGGCTGAGCATGTCAGCGGGAGGATGATCTTGACCCCAGGTGTGTGTGTGTGTGTGGGGGGTCCATCCAGGGACAGTACTGGGGGGCCCAATCCTGCACTCCTCCCCCCCCCCAGAAAAACCTGTCGAGGCTACAGGGGTGAGTGATCAGCCCCACCCCAGGGAAGTGAGCTCTCTGGCTCCCAGGAACCAGCCCTTTTGGGGGGCTGGGGGCTGGCTGAAGTCACACTGTGGGGTTCCTTTAATGGTGGGGGTGGGAAGAAGGCAGGTTTGCGTCTCCCACAGCCTGGCTGGAACCTTTGCCCCCCTCCCCACCAGCCTCATGGAGCCCACGGCACTGCCAGGCCCCCCCTCACGGCTGGGCAAGATGCCCCAAGAGTACCAATGGGCACAGGCCTGAAGGCTGGACTCTGGTAGAGGCACATGGTGCTGGGGGGGCCATGCCATGGCGGGGCAGTACTATGGGGAGCAGGGGGAGGGTTGAAAACACCATGGATGTGGGGGCAGCTGGAGATTGAGCCAGCAGCCCTGGCTCCAGCTCTCTGCGTTGCTCCCAGCGCTGGGCTGTCAGTACAGTTCTGCCCTAACCCAGCCTGTGCTAATGCAAAACACCCAGGCCAGGGGGCTCCGGCACTCTGGGGGTCGCTGCCTGTTCCCTACTGGGCAGGCTGCATGGGAGGGAGCTCACTCATGCTCAGGCCAAGGGGTAACAGTGCCCTGCAGTGCCTTCAACAGAGCCTCACCCTCCCAGCACATAGCCGTCAGGCCTCCTCTGCCCTCACCCCAGGCCAGGCACCTACGGGGAGGGGCCCACCCAGGAGACCGATGGTGCTGGGATTGGGGTAGGCTCTAGGTCACCTCACTCCAAGTGGATGGGGAGGGACAGGCCCTGGGGGGTAGGACTCAGGCACAGGGATTCTGAGCTGGATATGAGCAGGAGCATGGGGGGCGGGGGCAGGACCTCCAGGGTGGGGTGGTGGCAGTTAAAAGCAGCAGGGCTGGACTGGCGGTGGGGTCAGGCCTTAGGGAGGCAGGGGAACATAGGGACCAGGCTGCAGCCACAAGGCAAGTCAGTTAAACATGCTTGTGAGTCTGGAGTCCTGCCCCACATGTGGGCCCAGCAGCTCAGAGAGGGCATTGCAGCATGGTGCAGGCTGGAGAACTGCCCCAGCCACTCCTGCAGCCAGCCCAACAGGCTGGTACTGCGGAAGAGATGGGGAAACTGAGGCACCCAGACAGGGCATGGCATACACCAACTTTCCAGCAGAGCTGGACCCACCTCCTGTGCTCCAATCCCCACCCAACAAATTCCTTGACAGAGGGGGCGTTGCCCAGTGCAGGGGAGAGAGAGCCCGTGTGGACAGGTAGCTGGGCTGCCGCTAACCCCACCCCGCAGGCAGTGCACAGGGAACAGCCCCAGGCTTAGAAACAAGGCACTTTATTGGGAGAAAAGGGTTAAGACCATTGAGACAGAAGCCATCCCCACCCGCCCCCAGTGATCAGACAGCGCCCCCCAGCTCCTCCCCCAAGGTAGCTCAGCATTGAGCAAGTCTGTCCCCAGCACCTCAATGAGTCCATGGTAGAGCCAGGCATGGAATCCAGGAGTCCTGACCCCAGGCTGCTTCTCTAACCACTAGGCCCCACTCCCCTCCCAGAGCTGGGGAGAGAACCCAGGAGTCCTGGCTCCCAGCCCCATGCTCTACTCCCCCACCTGTTCACACATTTTCCCCCTTTATTGCAGGCAGAAGGTGCTGGCACAGAGCCAGGCTGTGGGGCAACTCCCTGCCGCCCAAGCTCAGTTCTCCCCGGGACAGACAGCCTGGCCGAGCCATGGGCAGCGTGGGGCTCAGGCTCTGTGGTGCTGTGGGCCCAGGCCTGACGCTCACCAGGACTTTTCACTCGAGGGTCTCGGGCTGTGAGCAGGGGCCTGGTCCCCCTTGCGTGAGCACTGCTTCCCATCAGCCCAGCAGAAGCGGGAGGACCCAAGGGCATGAGCCTATTCCAAGCTGAGATTGGGGGGGGGGAGGGGATCCCTCGTCTGCAATGTGTCCTTGGGCCGTCCCCCGTAGGGTCAGAGCTCAGCCCGCTCTGGCTCCTTCTGCACCCCCTCCGTCCCCGCTGCACCCGCCTCCTGCTGCATGTTGGCGTAGGCCACCTCCCGCGCCAGGTGCTCCAGGGACGGGCGCCCCAGCGCCAGGTTCCTGAGCGAAATCCAGGTCATCAGGAAGCTGTGAGGGGAGAGAAAGAGCAAGGGCTGGAGATGGGCCCAAAGGAGCATCTTGGGCGGGGGGGGCAGATCTGGGGGTGTTCAGCTCAGATGGGGGGTGGCTCACGTGACTGGGGTAGAGGGAGCAGGGAAGGTACGGCAGTTGGGGTGTCATGGCTCGTGCAGAAGGGGGGCCTGGCCCGTGGCTGGGAGGAGGTGGGTGCAGTGGTGGGGGCCTGGCGCGGTGTCCGGCAGTGAGAGGCTGGCCTGTGGCTGGCTGGAGGTGGGTGCAGTGGTGGCAGGGCAGTGGGGGGGCTGGTGTGTGGAGGGAATAGCGCCGGAGGCTGTACGGTGCCGGGGGGCTGGCGCATGACCAGGCACTCACCTCCGGCGGAACAGGAAGTACTTCCTGGCAGCGAAGCGCTGCAGCCGCTCCCCGAGCGTGGCGTTTCGCCGTCTCTGCAGCTCCTCCAATCGCTGCTGGCGCCGCACGAAGGCCTGGACGACGGGGTCAGTCTGCATGGCGTCCCCCAGGGCACCATCTAGGATGGGCTGCAGCTCTGGGGGCAGGGGCTCCGTCTCTGCACCGGGGGAGGGGGGGCAGGCATGAGATGGCATCTCACCCCCAGGGGCCCGTACGCCACAGGGAAAGGGAGACGCCCGGGGAGCCCCATGACAGGGATACAGCCACTGGCGCCCAGTGGGAGGGATCTCTGCCCGCTACTCCCCCCAGCAGGGCTCCAGGGGGTCTGGGCTCAGGGGGCAGTGCTGGTCCCAGCAGCCAGGAGCTAGGCTAAGGGGCAGGGCCCCAGAGACTCACCGCTGCCGTTCTGCACCTTGTCCCGCAGCTCCTGCAGCTGGGTCAGGTTCCGCTCCAGGGCCACGTCCGTGGTGTTGATGTAGACGTACATGTAGCAGGAGGGCTCTGGCGACACCGTGTGCACCTTGTGGTACTCGCCCGGGGGCAGCTGGGACACGGGGGGGTCAGCAAGTGGCAGCAGGCCAAGCGGGCTGAGAACCAGCCAACTCTCTGCCCTTGCCAGACATGCTGAGCCAGAACACAGCTCCCAGCTGGGGGGGAGGATCCCCCACCCCCAGATCTGAAACCAGGACCCTCTGGCCCAGTCCCCATGGCCCCCCAGCGTATCCAGCAGACCTGGGCTGAGAACCAGCCAGCCACCCTCCATGGCTCTTCTCCTGCCAGGCAGGGACACAGGCCGGGCTCCACCCCTGCCCCCCAAGCCCAGCCCTCACCTGCATCCTGTCCCCTTCCTGCAGCGTGTAGTTCCTCTGCTCCTTGATGATCTCCACCACAACCTCCCCCTTCAGCAGCTGCAGGCTCGTGTTGCCCAGGTCCTCACTCACAAAGTTCTCCAGGTGCAGGCCTGGGGGTATAGGAGGGGACATAAAGGATGGTGAGCGCAGCCCCACTGGGACCCACTCCCGCACCATCTGGCCACAGGACACACCCGTGACCCACACTGGCAGCATCTGGAGCTCTGCCCCACTCTAGCAACAGCTCCGCAGGAGAGGATAACAGCCTCCTACAGCCGCCCGGCAATGGAGTAGCTCCTTTAGGTCAAGCTGCAGCGGCTGAGGTTTGTGCTCTGAAGGTGCCAGGTTCCAACCCTGCTGCTGAGGCAGGGGGGTTGTCCTATTAGTAACAGGAGCCCCCCAAAGGAACGGGCTGCAGGCAGATACCTGGGAAATCAGCGATGAAAACCACCTCCGTCTGGTTGTCCAGCGAGCTCTCGATCTCCTGCAGCTTTGCCCTCCAGGGGGACAGGTTGACCAGCAGCGGCTTGAGCCATGGAGTGTGGCGGAAGGGAGACCACTCGGCCCGCACGATGTCCACCTGCGGGTCGAAGAGCCTGGCCGGCGAGAGGGACCCGGTGAGTGCGCCGGAGGCTGGGCCAGCAGGATGCTCCAGTACCCGGCTCCCTGCCTGGTTCGTCTCCCCCGGGGCAGTGGGCAGCCGGCCCCAGGGTCATTGCAGGACAGAAGGGGCATCAAGTCCCTGAGGTGCCAGCTGCCAGATTGGGTCTGTGATGGGACCCAACGCACCCTGTGCTGGGGGCATGGCACTGCCACAGGCCCCCCACCACACACAAACACAGTGGTTCTGTGCAGTGCTACCCAGCAGCCCCTCCCACTACTCCGTCTTCTTCCTGCTGGGGGACAGCCAAAGGCTGGGCATGGGGCTGGCTGGGCTGGGGCCAGCGCAGGGCAGGTAGGAACCCCTTCCCCCGCACTTACCTCTGCTGGAAGCGGTCGTTGATAGAGACCCAGATGTCGAAGTAGATCTCAGGCTGCGAGATGTTGTAGTTGTGTAGCAGGCGGCTCAGGCAGGTGGCGTACTGCTTCAGCATGTCAGCGTGGTCCTTCCAGCGCCGGCTCTGGGTGAACACCTGCCCGGACACACCCACTGAGCCAGGCGCCAGCCAGCCAGCCAGCCCTGGGTTCCCCAGCCCCCCACAAGTCAGGAGATTTCCATCCCCACGAGCTTCTGCCTCTGAGCCAGCTCTGACCTCCCCACCCCATAGGTTCAGAGGGAGACCAGCCCTCTGCGTAAGGCACAGGATTGGGGGTCAGGACTCCTGGGTCCCAGCTCTGCAGATGACTCCCTGGGGGGGCAAGTCCCTTCCCTACTCAGTACCTCAGTTTCCTCACTTGTAACAGGACAGGGAAATTCAGTCATGTCTGCGAGGCTCAGATAGTCCAGCAGAGAAGGCAGCTCAGCCGCCGAGGGACAGAGTCATGCTTGAGCGCAGGGCTGGGAGAGCCCCGGCAGAGACCCTCCCCCACATTTCACTCCATGGGAATTTAAACAAACCAATAACCCCCGCTTTTGGCTCCCAGCCCCAGATACAGTCACATCCCAGCGCAGGGGGCTCTGGCTGGGACACAAGGGCAGGGAACCACACACTGACAAGCAGAGTTTGGGTAAGATGAGTCAACAGGACTCCTGGGTTCTATCCAGGGCTCAGGGAGGGGAGTGGGGTCCAGTGGTTAGAGCTGGGGGATGGGGGGTGCTGGGAGCCAGGACTCCTAGGTTCTATCCAGGGCTGAGGGAGGGGAGTGGGGTCCAGTGGTTAGGGATGGGGGGTGCTGGGAGCCAGGACTCCTGGGTTCTATCCAGGGCTCAGGGAGGGGAGTGGGGTCTGGTGGGAGCCAGGACACCTGGGTTCTAGCCCTGGCTCTGTAACAGATTTCCTCTGTAACCTTCAGTCAAAAAGCTCCCCACGCCTCAGTTTCCCCATCCATACAACAGGGATGGCCTGGGCCTGCCTTTGTTTAGTGCCCTGAGACCCTCAGATAGGAGCCCCATTGTCTGTGCTAATTAATATTGTTAATGACCATTAATGTCCACCTCCTCTGGGGCACCAAGCAAAGCCAGGCCACAGTGAGGGCGCCGGACACAAGTGGCCAGACTGATTGTCCAGTCCCCTTCGCTGCGCAGAGAGGGAAACTGAGGCAGGGAGCGGGGCAGGGATGCCTCAGGGAGTCAGTGGCGGCAATAGAACCCGGGGTCCTGGCTCCGCCCCAGAGCGCGGCGGGGTCACTTACCCCAGGGTTGAGGTAGCCCAGCTCCCCGGTCACACCATCCCGGTAGGTGATCTTCACGTGCTGGTGGGAGCGGGAATGGACCATCATGTCCCACGAGTAGCCGTACAGCCCCTTGGTCCAGTTGTTGTAGCCCTGGGGGAGGGGGCAGCACATCAGGGGAAGCATGGGGGGATAGGGAGCACGTCAGAGGAAGTGCGGGGGACAGGAAGCATGGGGGGGATAGGGAGCACATCGTGGGGGTGCGTGGGGGGGATAGGGACCATGTTGGGGGGCAGTGGGGGGGACAGGGACCACGTTGGGGGGCTGCAGGGGGGACGACAGGGACCACGTCGGGAGGAACATTGGGGATCCCTGAACCCAGCATCCGATCGGGTTCAAGCCGCTTTCTCAGGGAGCTGGTTTGTGCTGTTGTTTTGCTGGGTAGTCGGGGATCTGGCTGCTGTTACCCACCTGGCAGCCCCAGCTGCGGGACCATGGCCACCCCGCTGGGTCTGTGCAGCTCGCATGGGCCACTGGTCACCAGGTGGACACCCAGCTCCTAGGGGAAGTCACCCCAGCTGGGGAGGGTCAGGCTGGCCAGCCACAAAGCCAGCTCCCTCCCTGGGAGCCAGGCATCAGCCAGGGCTACGTGGTGGGGCAGCACAATCGCTGCCGGGCCAGGGGTCCCGGCTTGTCCCCCCCTGGCTGAGCGGCGCCCACTGAGGAGCAGCACCCCAGCACCCCTCCCAGCGCTGCCCTCCGCTAGCCCCCAGCTCCTCCCCTCCCCACAGCTCCCCCCAGAGCCCTGCGCAGCGCGGCCCCAGCCGCAGGGTCCCCTACCTGGGTGATGAAATGGGAGTAGGGCAGGAAGAGCTGCTCCAGCACGTACAGCACGGTGAAGAGGGCCCCCAGCTTCTGGCGCAGCCCCGGCCCTCGCTCCCCCCTGCCCCGGCCCTTGCGCTCGGACCCCCTGTACACGCACGCCTCGCTGGGCTGCGGCGGCTCCACGGAGGGCAGGAGCCTTCGGAGACAGGCCGGGAACCTGGCACCCAGGCGGCGCGGCCAGTCCGGGGAGCAGAACAAGGGGCTGGTGGCAAGCATGGTGTAGGAGAACATGCCTGTGGGGAGAACCGAGCCATCAGCCAGGGAGCTCCCCTCCCTTCGGGCAAGGCAAGGGGCACTGGCTGGGCTGGAGGACAGCAGCTGTGGGGTTACAGCAGCTGTGGGGGGCCAGGACTCCTGGGTTCTATGCCCAGTGCTGGGAGGGGAGGCTGGGAGCGAGGACTCCATTCCCAGCTCTGGGAGAGGGATGTGGTCACGGACAGGTTGGGAGCAGAACTCCTGGGTTTTCTCCCCAGTGCTGGGGGGGGGGGGGGGGGGGGGGGGGGGG